TGAACGGGAGCAGAACTTCCCTGTGGTCTCACATGCAATCTTCTTTTCAAAATGGCAAAATGCTGCAGATGCCCATAATTACAATATTTAGCTGTATTTCACTATTTTCTACATATACATACATTCTTCTCTCAGCTCAGATGAAGAGATTAAGTAGGTGTTCAATCTGTGATAAAGAAATCTTCTTGGCTTGTATGAAAAATATAGATGAGAGCAATAATTATGAAATTTAAGTGGTAGATACATTAGTAGAGATGTCCTTATTCTCATGCCAAAGCTCCCAAGTTACTCCAACAGATCTGCATGGATGGGCCCCTGTGTAGTCTTTCCATCTCCAGTTCAGCTCCTCACTGACTCATGCTGGGGATTCACAGTACTGACACCTTTTTTTAAACCAGCATTAAGGATCTGATGTTGAAAGTTGCTGAGAGTTCTCTTAAGTGTCACAAACCTCAGTGGGCACATGGGGCACCAGAAACTGTATGGGAGGTTTGCTGATCTCCCAGAAATAGCCTGTATCATTTTGGTAGGGGGAAACAAGCTCAGTTTCAACTATGTGCTAAATTAACACACAGGTGAGGAGTGGACAGGATAGTAAATATTCCAACATCAATTTATGCTCTAAGTTTCTTTTAAAGATTTACTTTCCCTTAGATACATATTAAAAAAGCCATACCTGATATTCTTTTTTCCTATCTAGCAATTAGATGCGTAAGTAGCTACAATCAGTGCTCAGTGCTGTGTGACTGAACATGTAAAACTCAAGACTAATCTGCTATTTTATGTTAGCTAAGTGGCTGTGACTGTACGCAAATGAAAATCTGGGTTTTTCACATAAAGGCTTGCAAATGTGTGTGCATACATATAAAGATTTCTGATGTGACGATCTGAACATAAACCATCCAATGTCTAGGTAGCAGGATGAACACTAATATAACAACTACAAGCTTTGACTATAGTAAAGGGATTTGTGTTAGTACAAGAACCTAAAAAAAATAAAAGCTCTGAAACTAAATAAGGCTTTGTAATTTTTTTCCCGTTCACAGTATTATGTTTATTACTATCTGCTGCCCTGACCAATCTGATCTAACCTTGAAACTTGCTAGCTGTGCTTTGAGCAGAAGATTGAACTGGAACACCTCCAGAGGTCCCTTCAAATCTTTTCAGTTTTATTTTTTAAATGATTATACAATTCTAATAATTCTAATACAGGATTGAGCAGATCCAAATCTGGTCAGTTACTCCATCTCCTTGACTCCATTTAATTTAACACAATTTTGCACTTGTTCCATGATTAACTCCCCCCCCCCCCCCCCATCCATTTAGCTTGAAACTAAGAGGAAAACTTTCTGCAAAGGCAAAAAGGAAACGACTGAGTCATTTCATCAGGAATCCAGTCTGTTGTTCCAGGACCCTCCAGGATTTTCTTGTCCCCCTGAGGATGAGTGCATACCATATGAAATACACCCTAACCTCCTGAGCAACAAAACTAAGCACCATTTCAGAACACATGTTCGTAAGTTTAGAAAACATGATTAATTGGAGCAGGATCAATAAATAGTGAAATTGGAATACTACTTCCTTTCTTCTCTAAAGATCACACACAAATGTGATTAGTTTTGATAACGTGACAATATCTGGAAGACCATTTGACCTTGTAAAATGAGTTTATTCTGAGAATTGGAATGCTTTTTGTGGAAGTCAGGAAAAGATCCTTTGCAAATGGCAGGAAGGAGATGGGGGTTAGTAGAACAAAAAAATCTGATTCAAGACAGGTGAGTCCTTAATTTTTCAGTTCCTTCATGCTTAATAAGGAATCCTTGCCACAGCCCTAACAAAGTTAAAAATTATCTGCAATGTATTGCACATTAATAGCCAGTTTTCAGAATAAAGGGGGAATGGTGAATTTGCTCACTCTGGTGTTCTGCATCATTTGTCAACAACATGAATGCACAAAACAAGTACAGGCAGAGCAGGGAGCTGGAAATATTAACTGGCTAGGTACAAATGGAAAAGCAAGAATGCCTATTCATATAGATGAAGATTACACAATACAACAGAAAATTGACATTGATAATAGTAGAAAGAACAAAAAGAACATCTAATGATACCAATCCTTGCATCAAAAGCTTTTGACCTGTAGCTTGGATGAAGAGTATTCAAATATGAAGGGACATCACATGACATTGCAGCAAGAGAGATGGCAACAAGCAGAAGCTACTCAAGATGTGATTAACATAATGGGAATATGGAATCACACAGGACTTTAAACTGAACCTTCTCCTGAAATGAGGCCACAGAATACCACAAAGCCTGTAGGGAGTGAGCATAAGATTTAAGTGAGGTGAGGATCTACAACTGAAAGGAAGAGAATGGGAAAGGGATCAATGGTTTTGTAGGAGTTGTTTAATGTGCAATAGGATCCAAGGAGGCAAAAAGGAAAGAAAGAAAAAAAAAAAGAGGATCAGTTTGAGCCAAACTTTCCTCACTTTGAGGAAAACAACCTGGCAAATGGGAAAAGTAAAAAGGAATACAAGTATCATCCTTTTACAAAAACCTTAATAATGAGAACTGCTGATGTTTTCACTACTAAATAGACTGCCATATCCCTGGCAAAAAGGGCAAAAATAGTAAAACGTGCAGGTAGAGATGAGGCCACAGGCTGCAATTCAAGGTGGCCAGTCTTCACAGATTCTGCACAGCTAGACCTTCTAGCCTCCCCGAACTTAAACTGAACTGGTACAAGACAGAACACTGCCAGGGCAAGAAGTAAAGCTGAGTATACCTCAGGACAAAAACATTCCTCGGAAACCTCTATTAGGTATCTAGATACCTGCCTACACAACAGTGCAGAACGGGGGCCTATGTCCTTATCTGAATGTAAAAGAATTTTAGCTTAATGAGCTTGTATTTTTAAAATGTTAATTTCCTTCTCAGAGCACTTCAGTAAATACAATCAATAACTCCTAAAATACTCACAACTGAAAGACAATCAAGAAGATAGTGCAAGTCTATTGATTTAAGCAAAACAACCTTTCAAACCATTTGGTTACCCATGGCATGTGGTTCCTTAAAAAACACCCCTGTGAAAACTTGTTTCTGATTAAATGTTTGAACAGTGTCTCTATATTTGCAAATCCAGAGGAAGTAAATTTATGGAAGCAGCGGTTTCTATTTGATCAACATAAAGGTCAAAGAATAGATATATTGGATAAGTTATCAAAATAAGATCTAAAAATTGTAAACGTTTCCTTGACAACGTCATATAATTTTTCCTCTGAGCAGGAAGTATCCCCAATGTGCCAACACAAATGTTGGGTTCCATGGCCAGCAAATAGCATCCAGAAAAATAGGTAGGATAGTGGACATCCATTTAAAAGACTTTGAAATGGAATTCTGTGCAAATGTTAATGTACACAGTCCTTAAAGAAGTAAGTTTTGATTAATTTCAAGAGGGTACATATGAATAATAAAGGTTTTTTTCCCATTTTAAAAAACAGCATATAATTACAGGAGAATTTAACTTCTGATCTGCATTTTAAAAAATGTTATGAAATAATGAACTATAACTTCATAGGATGCAGGTAACATTGCCCTATGTACACTTAAAATCACTGTGAACTAAAAGCAGCAGAACTTTTGAAGAAGAATTTCATGCCTATGAAAGAAGTTCCTAAGGGTTTAATTCAGAGATTACTGAAGTCAGAGGGCAGCTCTTTTGGTTACTCTGATGGACTTTGGTTCATGCCCCAAGAAAACAAACTAATCTGAGAGCTTCCCATTGGATTCATACAGCATATTATAAGCCACAAACATATTAGACTGGCCAAACTATATGCCAGATTTTAGCAAAAGAAGCTGTCAAGCGGTTCATATGTGCCAAAGGAAAATGAATGGCAGAGACCATCAGAGCATATATCAAATTTCCTCAGAATGCTTTAAATAGACATTCTGCAGAAAATGACTTTTACATTTCCAACCACCTTATAAACACTAGAAAACATAGCTGTTAAGAGTAGTTCTGAGAATAACTTGTTGTCTAATCTACAGCACACAGTTAAAGTTGTGGCTGGTATCTAGACAGAGAGTGGCGTAAAACTGCACCTGGAATGTGCCCCCTGCAGAAGCTAGTGTCTCTGCAATGGATGCACAGAGGATTGTGGTTACAGTGATCATCATGCTGCCTGCTGGGAGCATCTGAACCACAGGCTTGGCCCCAGCTCTTCCTCACTAAGCTCTACACAATTCTGCAACACAGAAAGCTGCTCTCACCTCTTCTTCCTTTAGCAAGAATAAATGAGGTTATTTTCTCAGCCCCTACTCATCCCAAAGGATTTCATCCTTAATTACTCCTGAGCAAATAAAGCAGAATATAAAACCAACTATTCCTTCACAAGTATTTTGCAAACTGAATTCCTTCACGAAGATTTCAGCATGTTATTCTCTTTCAACAGGCTGCATGCCAAAATCATCTTCCTCCTGTCAAAATGGAACAGGGTTTTCAAATGTGCTTTGAAATTTCACACACTTTGATATATATAGAAAGTACTTTCAGCACTTACAGAATATTTTAATTGGTTTCTTAGGAGGACAGAAGACTTCACTAATTCAGAAAAAAGTTGTGCTTTTAAAGTTACATTTCCAGTCTCTAGAACAATGTTAATGCAAACTGCTTTTTCTTATGCTAAGATTCAAGGTACTTCAGATGGCATTAATGACATCTGTTTAAATTATAATTATGCTACCCTTACTTTTCTTCATGCTGCTTCAAGAAACCTAACAATAAAGACAGCAGCATTCATGCTGGGAGTACTTTTTATATGAAACAAGGTGAAAGGAGGACAAGCATTTGATAAATTTCCATAAGACAGAATCTATGCAGAAGTCTGTCAGATATGCAACAATCTGCAATCATCACAAAGGCAGCTGGAAAGTTAATACAGCTCTGTATATGCCAGTTTGCCTCTTCTACTTCATTAAAAAGCTGGATGTCTACTCACCAGTTTCCTGGGGGAAAGGTATTCATCCACAAGTAGCTCTCCATCATCTTTAATCAGTGGACTGGGATTTAGGTTGCCTCGCCAACTCAAATCAGTCACCTGGTCTGCAGCTGAGTCTGGATGAGAAACCCTGCTAGTATTCCACTTCAGGTCCATCTCAGTATGCTCTGAATAGAAGAATAACATGTGGTCTGATTTTTTTCCTGTATTTATTATTTTCCTTTCAGCAAAATCTATTTTTGACTCCCATTGCAAGTCAGAAAATGGTCATGGAGATACAGTTTTCTTTAATCAGAAAGAACCCATTTCATTATGTAACACATATACTTCCTTTTCTTTACCTTCAAGAGCTATTGTCCTACATCTCATTCAGCTTTGAGTGCAAGCTTCTACAGCAAGCTATCATTTGCAGTTATACAAAAAGTCAGGCATATGCCTATGGCTCTCTACAAAGAAGGCAGTCAAGAACAAGCAAACCAGGACACTAGTCCTTTCCAGTCTTCTCTGGAAATAGCACACAGCAAAACTCTGCCAGGCTCTAGGCTGCAAGTGCCAGCACCAAGACATGTCACCGCTTCTCTGCAGTTTTGAGCTCTGCCTGTAGGTAGCATGGACAGCAGCAGTCTCTATTTGCTGTCCTAAATTAAACATACCTGCACTGTTGCTGGCTGCCCTCTGGGTCAGGCAGGCCATGGCTACTGACTTCAAGTTCTGAAGAGAGTCTTGCAGAAAATAAAATTAAAATACAATTCAAACAAAAGCATGTATGCTTCAAGTGATAATTAAATACAAAGTTGAAGATGAAGCAGCTCAGAAGTGTTCAATCTTCAACTCCCAAAGCTATGACTTTCACAGAAATATTAACAATTAACTTTGAAATATGAGACTAAGCATATGTACACCCGTTGAGAGTCAAAAAGCAAATCAGCTGCACCCAAATGGTACAAGCATTACTATGATTCATACAGCTATTTACTACTACTTGGCAGCAAGGAAGTATCACAGCTGGAAACATCGTTGTAACAACAACAGGCTAGACTAGCGAAAAGCCTTCCCACTCTGCTGAAGGGACACCTGCAGTTTTCCTCTGTTCTCCGCTGTGAAGCGATACTTTTTCTTCATGCTGGAAAAGTAATTATATAATCAAGCTAATCATAATTGGCTGATAGGGCTTCAGTGGTGGCCAGACCCTGAGAATTACCACCTTCCTTCCCCCTTGTACTAATAGTTAAATTCAGGGGTGAATTCTATTAGGTAAAACAGAAGTTCTGACTGGTCAGCTAGTCATTTCTACTTGAGAGGACCGAATGGTTAGGAGGTGAGAGGGGTTTGCACCAAACAGACTTCTTGCTCTGACTACTCATGTCCAATCAGAAGTCTTCAATTTTGCACTAACAAAAGAAATTCAAAAGGCTCGGTACTATCAGAAAAAAAAAGGCAGCCCTTATCTGAAGAAGAGCAACCACAAAAAATTAATGAGCCACCATACCTCTCCCTGCAGGACCTACTAGCACTGGGAAGAGAGGAAGCAAAACCTCACACTCCGCATGCTCCTTCCCATTCATTAGGAAAGAGGCAACCCACAGAAAGCAACAACTGTTTTTCTCAGATCACTGCAAGCATTCCTACAAGAGTAGCTGCCTTCTCAAATGTGCAATGTCTGAGCCACAGCAACATTCAATACTTAAAAAACATATTCAAGAAGAAATTCTTCAGACACATTACTCCTTTCAGTCTTTCTTAATGGCTTATAAAAGAAACACCATAAAATGAATTGAGCATTGACCTTTGCAGCTTCTAAAACCTTAACATGACTATAGTAGTATAAGGACAACTTTCATACTTCTGCCCATTAAGAAGGAAAAGAGATCTAAAAAACACGGCATGTCTTAGTTTTTGGGAGAAGCGCTACAACCAACCCATAGATTTTTGTTCCTTTTTCCAAAGCATTCTATAATTTCTGATGTTTTCCTCTACATTCTCTAGAGCAGATCAGTATGATTTAGTCAGTACACTGAGTTGCAACAGTCATCAATTGTCCAAGGAAATTCAAGAATCTTATGGGCTATGAGGTCTTCTAGTGTTGTCTTTATTTTCCTAAAGAATTATTTTGATCAGTAATGGATTTGGATTAGAATATCTGCCATATAAATGCTGGAATACTTTGACAGTTGCACAAGACTTGTGCTGGATCCCGTGCAAGTACTAGTGGTTCTTTCTAAGTGAGGATTGTGATTATCCAGAACTAATCCCGTATGTTATTGGAGCCAAGTGCAGCAATAGTCAGAAATCACTGTTGTAATGTGTAAGTGCAAAACATAATAAGGTAACAGCAAGGTTGTGTAGATTCAGGCTGTGAAAAGTTGATACACTTTCATAAAACAGATTATTTCAGGCCATTACTATTACATTTCAGAATACTCTCCAATCTTGTGTTGATACAGCACTTACTTAAGTTTTGACAGGGGGATCAATTTGTGGCTTAATATCCGAGTAGCACTTCCAGTTCTATAGTTCCCGCTATTGATCTACCTCTTGCAATTATTGTAACATTGGATTAGTGAGGAGAAAAGTATTTTCATTACAAATTGTCTGGGATCAAATTGAGTTATTGTCAGCAAACAAAACTAATTTTTTTCACATGCTTCCATCACTTTAGAACTTTCTTCAGAGAGGAATCTTCTCCTGAACATGGATCAAAATAACATCCTCAAAATGCGGAATATAGAAAAGCTAAGTGCAGGATTCCTAGTAGTAAGGTACTAATCTTACATAAAAATACATAAACCTCCGAAATCTCCAGTACTGCGTAGGAGCCTAGTACAACACTTATCCCCCTACAGATACAGGAGTTAGATTGCTCATGTTTATCAGGTCCACCTGACTATTCTGGACAGGTAAAATCATTTCTGTAAAGCCACCTCACCCACTCACTTAAAATGCCAAGAAGCAATGAGAAGTTGTCCTGGTTTAGGCTGGGATAGAGTTAATTTTCTTCCTAACAGCTGGTACAGTGCTGTGTTTGGATTTAGTGTGAGAATAATGCTAATAACATACCAATGTTTTAGTTGTTGCTAAGTAGCACTTACCTGATCAAAGGCTTTTCAGTCTTTCATGCTGTGCCAGTGAGGAGGGGCACAAGAAGCCGGGAAGAAGCAGAGACAGGACACTTGACTCAAACTAGACAAGGGGGTATTCCATACAACAGCACATTATGCTCAGTGCATAAAATGGGAGGAGTTGGCTAGGAGGGGCCCATCCCTGGTTAAGGACAGGCGGGGCATCAGTCAGTGGGTAGTGAGCAATTGTACTGGGAGTCACTGTTGTTTGTTTGGGGGCGGGAGGGGGGTGTTTGTTTTCTCTCTCTGTTATTTCCCTTTATTATTATTACTATTATTATTATTATTAGTGATTTATACTTTATTTCAGTTATTAAACTATTCTTATCTCAAGAGTTTTCCCAATTCTCATCCCACTGTATGTGTGTGTTAGTGAGCAAGCAGCTGCATTGTATTTAGTTGCTGCATGTGAACATTGACAAGAATAAAAGAAAGAAATCAACAAATGAGATTTTGCAGGCTTTGTAGACTTTGCAGCCTCTTGCACATGTGGATAACTAGAAGCAGCTAATCAGTGTATTGAATTCTACGAAGAGTTAATCTGCCAACTTTCCCCACCACTGCCACTCTCCTTCCCAAAGCAAGCATGATGACGGTAAACTATTCAATTCACATACATGTTGTGAAAGTCCATCAAAAACTGCTCAACGCTGTCAACATATATAGAGTAATACAGCTAATAAAGATTATTATCAAAATTATATGATCCTTGGAACATGTTATTCAAAATCCTGCAGAATACTGTAATTTGCTAGACAGAAATTGGCAGAGCATAGTTATTTAATGTTCTTAGGGTCCAACAAACTGGTAAAACTCCAAGGTTTCCTTTTCCTGCTACAAGATTTATCAAAGAGTCAATGATGGGATCATGTATTCTCATTAAATATATATTAATATGCATTTCAAATGCAGCAATTGCCAGAAATGTTTGACTTTATATTAATTATGGTTTCTTGAGTCTGGTAAAGACCCTGTGAGTAGTGTGACTAGGCATGATAATTTCTAATGTAGCCAAGACATTACCTGAAGAACTTGTTCAAGCAAATACATTGCTATTTAAAAATGAAAACAACAACAACAACAACAAAAAACCAACAGTAATCAATCTAGATTTACTATAGGAAAGACATATACCTCTATGTATTAACATCCCATACAAGAGTGAATCTCTACTCCCTTAGGCCAGCTTCTCAACCAGCATTGTCTAGCTCTGTGGTTTCCCATGCCTTCAAAAAGCTTCAGTGGACAGCGAGGATTGCCAGTTCAGGTAGCGTACCACAATCTGTATGCCCTTAGCTTTGTCACCACCCTAAAAAATTATCTAGGAAAAACATCTGAGAGCCATTGTGCTATCTATTCCTTCATAACAAAAAGCTTGCACTGCAGACTTTCATTTCTCTTGCCCTGCATGATGTAATTTTTATTTTTTTAATCCAGAATCACAAATTACAGTAGTGCCCATACTGCTACCACTACCACAGAAGGAAAACAAAGAATTCTGTGTTGACTAAGTATTTATCAAAAGGTTTAGTTTATAAGTCCCAAAGGAACTATGAGTGCCCTTTTAAGTGTAATCTTGTGCAAGTGCACTACGGATAACCTCTTCTGGAAAATAACTGTTTGGGCAGCTGGAATTTACTATGATGTCATCAGGAAACTACTGTTAAAATAATCCACCCCTAATGGCAAAACCAGTTCCTGCTACATTTATGTAATACAAAGCATCCTGCAACACATCAATCTATTTTAGCAGGTGTAATTTCCAAAAAGTTGAAAAACAAAACATCTGACCTGATACCAATGTGAATCTTTTCTGTACAGGACAAAACAGTCTTGTTCTAATCTGTTTTTGTTAAGCAGAAGGAGATAATGACTACTTCAGTAATGCTACTTTAATATCAAGGGATAATGTAAGCACTATAAAGAGCAAATATAAATATTCCACTTGTGTGCCCCACTAAAGAAAAAACAGCTTTTATAAGAATGCTGAAATATCATAGAATCATAGAATAGTTACGGTTGGAAAGGACCTTAAGATCATCTAGTTCCAACCCCCCTGCCTGGGGAGGGACACCTCGCTCTAAACCATATCACCCAAGGCTCTGTCCAGCCTGGCCTTGAACACTGACAGGGATGAAGCATTCACAACCTCCCTGGGCAACCCATTCCAGTGCCTCACCACCCTAACAGGAAAGAATTTCCTCCTTATATCCAATCTAAACTTCCCCTGTTTAAGTTTTAACCCATTACCCCTTGTCCTATCACTACAGTCCCTAATGAAGAGTCCATCCCCAGCATCCCTATAGGCCCCCTTCAGATACTGGAAGGCTGCTATGAGGTCTCCACGCAGCCTTCTCTTCTCCAGGCTGAACAGCCCCAACTTTCTCAGCCTATCTTCATATGGGAGGTGTTCCAGTCCCCCGATCACCCTCGTGGCCCTCCTCTGGACTTGTTCCAACAGATCCATGTCCTTTTTATGTTGAGGACACCAGAACTGCACACAATACTCCAAGTGAGGTCTCACGAGAGCAGAGTAGAGGGGCAGGATCACCTCCTTCGACCTGACGGTCATGCTCCTTTTGATGCAGCC